AAGTGGAGATGTCCACCACGGGAAGCCTTCCACTGATGAAGTGGGGAGTGCTCCGCAGACCCAGCAGTTAGACCGATTGTGAAATGCAGCATAGGAGTGAGCCCAGGACAGGAAGGCATTGTCTTGAGGATCAAACGGCAGACTCAGGATTTTTGGAGTCAGCAGAAGCAGGCTCACATAGATTGTCAGGCCCATCTTGTCCTGAAGGATCCCGGACGAGCCCCCAAGATGAAAGGTTGTTGCTGAACAATGAGACGTGGAATTCTTGGCCTCCAGAGGAGATGAATTCAATCTGGGGCCAGAGATGAGGCTGGATCGCTCAGACCTTTTGTGTAATAAACTTTTATTAAAGTATAAAGGAGATAGAGAAAGCTTCTGACATAGGCATCAGAAGGGGGCAAAAGAGTACCCAGTCCCATGACTTTAGACACTTTATAACTTTAGGTAATTTGGCCAGTTCTTAGGCCAGTGGACTTGGAGTCACCCTTGACTCTTCTCTGGGCTTCATATTCAATCCATTGCCACCTTGTGCCAGTTCCATGGCCCATCCCAATTACTTCCCTGGTCTTAAACTATTTATCTTTCATATAGATTTTTGGAATATTCTCTTAACTTACTGTTCAGATTCTATTCTTATCTTGCTATGCTAATGCTAAGTCGCTTCAGTCATGTCCGACTCTTTGTGACCCATGGACGGCAGCCCACCAGGCTCCTCTGTCCACAGAATTCTCTAGGCAAAAGTACTGGAGTGGGTTGCCATCTTACCCCTCATCAATTATTCTGATAGCAGCCAAGCAATAGTTCTAGAAAACAAGTTTGATGTGTTATTCTTTTGATTTCAGTCTTTTAATCACTTCCACTAATACCTAAGTGATTTCTGCCCCCTTACCATGGTCCAGAAGACCAGGTATGATCTGTCTGCTACCTTACCTCTGTAGTCCCATTTCTACCACTTTTTCCTTTGTTCATTCTGCTTCAAACACACTGGTCTTCTTGCTGTTTCTAATATGGCAAAAACATTTCCATTTGTGGCCTTTGTGCTTGCTATTTCTTCTTTCTTTCTTATCCACATGTCCTTCCCTCAGTTATTACGTTTCACATACTCACTTCACTTAGTTCTCATATATTCCCTTTTTAGATGGGCCCTTCCTGACCTGAGCACTATAACTCAGTTACATCTTCTCTCCAAGATCCATCCTGTCTCTCTCCAACTTCTTGCATTAGATTTACTGTATGCCATATATCCATCTCTAGTAGCTCAGATGGTGAAGAATCTGCCTGCAGTGAGGGAGACCCAGGTTTGATCCCTGGGTCAGGAAGATCCTCTGCAGAAGGGAATGACAGCCCACTCCACTATTCTTGCCTGGAGAATTCCATGAACAGAGAAGTCTGGCAGACTACAGTCCATGGGAATGCAAAGAGTTGGACATGATTGAGCAACTAACATTTTCACTTTCATATATCCATCCACCCCCACCAGAATGCAACCTCCACGAGGTCAAGGCCTTTGTCTTGAAGTGAAGTGAAGTCGCTCAGTCATGTTCGACTCTTTGCTATCCCGTAGATTGTAGCCTACCACACTCCTCCATCCATGAGATTTTCCAGGCAAGAAGACTGGAGTGGGTTGCCATTTTCTTTTCCAGAGGATCTTCCCGACCCAGGGATAGAACCCAGGTCTCCTGCATTGTAGGCAGACGCTTTACCGTCTGAGCCACCAGGGAAAGTCTTACACATTCCCATGCCTGTAGCATCTAGTCAAGTGCATTGCATATAGTAGGTTCTCAATAGAGGTTGATGAAGCAATGGATGGATAATGTAGGTTGTTTTCAATTTTTTAAAACTACAAAAAGTAACACTGAGGATCAGGCAGAATGATGGGTGAGTTATTCTCCAGGGTATATCATGGTAAATTACTGGGGTGACCATGATGAATATTGGCAACTTTACTTCACTAACTGCAGTCTAGACTAGTTGTTCCAGATTACCTATCCACTTGCTGAATATGAACCTTTCCACTCATTGTTCTACGTTGTTCTCAGCACTCCAACATTTTATCCCCAGAACTACGGTATGCTTTTAAAAATTATTGGTTACCCCCAAAGACCTTTTGTTTGTGTGTGATGTTTATCAATGTTTACCTAATTAGAAAGTAAAGCTGAGAAATTTCAAAGATTGTTTGTTAATTTGTTCAAATGACAATAATAAAAATACATTCTATCAATAAAATATTTTATAAGATATTAACATAAGAAAGTGTATCTTCCAAAACAGAAAAAATCAGAAAAGAGACAGCATCACATTTTTGAAAATCTTTAAATTTCTGTCATAAGTGAAGATGCTTGGATTCTTGTATTGGCCTTTGCATTTGCTTAGCTGTGATATCATATGTCTCATAGCCTTGAGTAAAATGACACTTTACATTTGAGAAAGAGTGAGCGGGAAGAGGCAAATAACTTATGATGATGATGCTTATGGTTTAGGCATCCACATTCCTTGGAAGGATCTCTCAGGACCCAGAGATCCCCAGACATCACATTTGGAACATGTGATCTGTGGAGATAGGGAGCTTGATTTTAATTTGTCTTTTCTCAGTTACCTGTGTGCTTTAGCCTTTAAAAATATGTTTATTGTCTTTCTTATTTCCTCTTCTGTGGATTGTTGGTTGATGTCTTTTGAGTTTTAAAAAAATACTTAAGTTACTAATTCCTTGTTTGGAATGTGCATTGCAAATGATGAGTGAGTGAGTGAAAGTTGCTCAGTCATGTCCAGCTCTTTGCGACCCCTTGTGACCCCATGGACAGTTCATGAAATTCTCCAGGCCAGAATACTGGAGTGGATAGCCTTTCCCTTTTCCAGGGGGATCTTTCCAACCCAGGGATTGAACCCAGGTCTCCCGCATTGCAGGCAATTCTTTACCAGCTGAGCCACAAGGGAAGCCCAGGAATATTAGAGTGGGTAGCCTATCCCTTCTCCAGCAGATTTTCCCGACCCAGGAATCAAGCCAGGGTCTCTTGCATTGCAGGAGGATTCTTTACCAACTGTGCTATCAGGGAAGTCCTACCTTCTCCCTTAATCTGTGGCTTTTAAAATTTTTGTTTGTAGTACTAGTTTCAGAATTCTTATAAATTAGTGATCTATTAATAGCTTTCTTTTTTGTGATTTATTTTAGAGCTCCTTTAGTCCTCTGAAATCATAAAGATATTCTTCTATATTTTACAATTTTAGTTTTCATATTCAGGTCTTTCATTCCACAGAGAATTAGCTTTCCTAAGGTGCATATGAGATCAAAATCTGTCCTATTACCTTCCTACTGCAGCCATGGGTCACGACTTTTCCCAGCACCACTTATTGACCAGTGAATTCTTCTTCATTGATCTACAGTGTAGTCTCTGCCAAGGTCAGGTTTCTCTGCCACCTATGCTCTGTGGTTCCTCTTTTCTTGTGGTCTATTTGAATGTTTGGATCTGTAATACTCAAAGTTAATCATTCATTATTAGTTGAGAAATACAACTAAATATCTGGTAGGACATAACCCTCTATCCAAAAAAAATTGTTTTGACTATTCTTGACCCTTTTCTTTCCAAATTACTTTTAAAATCAGAGTTCGAATATATAATTTTGTCAAGTTACAAACCTGTTGGGGTTTTTCTAAACATTTTCTAAACATTTCCAACTTTTAAGGAAAAAGACTTGGCAATTAGTAGTTAATACATTAAATGTTTTCATATTTTTTACTCCAGTGATTCTGTTTTGGGAATTATCTACTAAGATGGCAATCAGAAATGTAAAGATAAGAATTACAAAGAAATGTAAAGATACAAAAAGATACATCTTACAAGTTCTTATTTTTCTAGCTTTATTTTTGCAAGTTTTTTTTTTTTTTTAAAATTCAGCAAATATTTATTGGGCATCTACTATGTGCCAGGTATAGTTCTAGGTGTCAGGGATTCATCAGTAAATACACAAATGAATGAAATACATGGTATGTTAGAAGAGAAGCAGAGATGTGTAAGAGAGACTGTGCCACTGAGTTGGCTCTGAAACACATGAAGAAATCAGGTGTGCTGAGAGAATATTGAGATTTTTAAAAGAGTGGCATGAGACCTCATTTAGAAGATGACAAGTAAGCAAAGACTAAGAGCAAAATCGCTTTTGTTGAATTTCTTTAATATTCCTTAATATAAAGAGTATTCTTATGTTCTCTGACTTACAGTGTTGTGATAGGAATTTAAAATTATCCTTGATAGATAAAGCTGTACCTGTGTTAAGTTCTGTTGATAATAGCTTACTTGAAAACTGACAAGTGTTAACTACCTAGGTATAAAAAGTTTGTTTTAAAGCTTTCAGAATAATGATTTTTAAGCTCTTTTTGTTCTTTTGAAAAACAAACAGTTAAAAGTATTACTAACCACTCTATAATGCTGTTAATTAAATTTATTGATGGGAGGGGTCCTGATTTATCAAGCTTTTCTCTGAACTTGGAATATTATATCTAAACATTTATATATGGCTGATCAGCCCCTACATATGGACAGAAGAAAAGCAAAGTAATCACATACACAGTTTAGGTAAAAACTTGACTATTTAGGGAAGGAAAGGGTTAATCTAGATTGTCTGAATTAACTTTGATGGATGACCAGAAGATATCTTAATTTTCAGGTCCCTTAGGCCCATGAATGGAAGCTAGATTTTAATGTATTTACTGATTTCTTTTGATTGGCAGTGGCTCTATGGAATGTTGTGTTGAGAAGGTACATCTTAAGTCATTGAGAAAAATTGTAATTTTTTAGAAATGTCTGCGATGTAAAGAAAGAGGACAAAGAGACAGCCCTTGTGCCAAGTATTCATCAGCTTTGACCTACATTGGCAGAGTTAGCTTATGTGCCACATCAAATCTGGGGGCCCAGCCTGTCAAGGTTTTATAAAAGCAAAACCAAGGGCTTGTGCTTTCTGAGCTTGTAAAATCTGTACTGAAAATCAGTGAGCAGGAATGGACTGAGTCAATCATCTAAAAGCTTCAATCACAGAGAAGAAAGACTAAAGTCTGTGTCTTTAAGTGTGTGTCATAAGCCTAAGTGGAAAATATGGCAGATGGACAGTGCAAAATGACATTCTTGTGTTAGAACCTGTGAAGATCAAGAAAGGCAACTAAAAACAGGAATATTCAGGACCTGTCCATTAAGTGAACTGAGTGGGATTCTGCCAGCAGGTGTTTCCTAGTCTAGTGCTACTTTTTGTGAGGTGCTTATGTCCTCCACCCTTCTACAAAGACAGCCTGTGAGAGGCTGTGCTCAGCATCAGGCACGAATGGAAACATTAGAATTGCAAAGTCTTTTTTTAGCTTATTATGACTAACTTTGAGTTTCATACCCTATTATTTTGCATCTTCAAACCTAGTTTTCCCCCCAGTTTTATTGAGAAATAACTGACATATATATCACTGTATAAGTTTGAGGTGTATAGCATGATGGTCTGATTTACATGTATTGTGAAATGATGATCATAAATGGATCATCTTCTCAGACAGACATAATTAACAAAAGAAAAGAGAAAAAAATTTTCTTCTTATGGGGAGACCTCATACTATTTACTCTTAACTTTTCTGTTTCTCATACATCACGGTTAACTATAGCCTTCATGTTGTACATTACATCCCTAGTGTTGATCTTGTAACTGGAAGTTTGTACCTTTTGACCACCTTTTCTAATTTCCCCTCCCCCTTCCCATTCAGTTCTGGTAACCACAGGTCTGATTGATCTCTTTTCCTATGAATTTTTTTTTTCTTATTTGGATACCACATGTAAGTGAGATCATACAGTATTTGTCTTTATCTAGCTGACTTACTTAGCATAATACCAAGGTCCACCCATGTTGTCTCAAATGATAGGATTTTTCTCATTTTTTAATATCTGACATATGTATACATATATATTTCAATATTAACCCCTTAGCAGAGACATGGTTTGCAGATATTCTTTCCTGTTCTGTTGTATGTTGTCTTTTCACTTTGTTGTGTTGATGGTTTCCTTTGCTGTGTAGAAGCTTTTTAGTTTGATGGTAGTCCCATTTGTTCAGTTTTATTCTTCAGGTGTTATATTCAAAGAGTCAATACCATGACCTGTGTCAAGGAGCTTCATTTCCTATGTTTTCTTCTAGGAGTTTCATAGTTTCAAGTTTTACATTTAAGTCTTTAATCTATTTTGAGTTAGTTTTTGCAAGTGGTATAAGACATAGTTCCAAATTTACTGTTTTACATGTGAATGTCCAATTATCTTAGCATCATGTATTGAAAAGACTATCTTTTCTCCATTGTATATTCTTGGCTCCCTTGTCAAATATTAGTTGACTGTACCTGCAAATCTTTTTTAAAGTAAAAGTTCAAAAGGAGTCTAAGTATCCAGCTGTAAGAAAAGGGGTAACTAAAAGTTAGTGACTATAAATAAAGATTATTACCTAGGTATTCACAATGATGTTTATTAAGAATGACTAATACTCATGTTATGAAGTTAAGTAAAAAAAGGACAGAAAATTGCAGATAAATTGGCTTTATAATTAGAGGAAAAACATCTTGATAAAATAAAATAACACTCCTAACTTTCTCATGATTGATGTATTTTTTAAAATTTTCTCTTGATGTTAGTCTTAGTTCCTGTTAGTTGCTTTTGAGTTATTGCTGCCCTTGAATAGGCTGTGTGCATGCTAAGTTGCTTCAGTCATGCCCAACTCTGTGTGACCCTATGGACCATAGCCTGACAGGCTCCTCTGTCCATGGGATTCTCCAGGCAAGAATACTGGACTGGGTTGCCATGCCCTCCTCCAGGGGATCTTCCCAACCCAGGGATTGAACCCGTTTTTTTTTGGTCTCCTGCATTGGCAGCTAGGTTCTTTACCATTAGTGCCACCTGAGAAGCCCAAAATACGGTGAGACTGTCTTTAATTAGCTTTATTGCAACTATAAGTCCTATAGATACTTCAGGAAATAACATTGCCATTTGATTATTAAAAAAAAAAATGAGGGAGGGTATGTATGTGCACTTATGGCTGATTCTTGTTGTGTGGCAGAAACCAACAAACATTGTAAAGCAATTATCCTTCAATTAAAAATTAAAAAAAACCCTCTTTCAATCATTTTACTTACTTAAACTAAAATTTACATAAATACACATATACATACATCTTCATTATATCACCAATACCAGATTATCCTGCTGTGTTATTAACACTTTGCTTCATTTTTAATTTCAGCTCATCCCAGTGTCCAAAAGGTGGTGCTAGCATCATCTGCATCAGATATTCCTGTCCTGTCTCCTCGTACTTCAGAAATTTCAGTTCCTGCTGATCTGGATAAGACGATAACAGAACTAGCCGACTGGCTGGTATTGATTGACCAGATGCTGAAGTCCAACATTGTCACCGTCGGGGATGTAGAAGAGATCAATAAGACAATTTCGCGAATGAAAGTAGGTACCTAGTGTAAAGGTTTGTCATGGAAACACCACAGCACAGGAGTAGACAAGATCTGTTTGGATCGCTTGTGTTTATCTTAAACTCTGCGAGGATGAGCTTTAAAAAATTCTTTTTTTTTAAAAAGTGTTTCTTTCCCATTTAATCTGCTGTGTTTTCATCCCACTGAATTCTTAACTTACATAAATTGTTTAAGCAGCACTTTCTTAGGAACAGGAGGGCCACTGAAAGAATCCAGGATGCTTTCAACCAAATTTTCCATCATCTGTCCGTCTTGCGGGATGAGTTGCACTTCCACTGTGAGGTGTCAGAGTGACTTGACGTTCTTCAGCTCCAACAAAGGATGATCTCTGGGCAGGGACTCTGGGTATGTCACAGTCAATGCTGCTGCCTTAGTGAGCCCGGTAGGGCGGATGTTGATGAGGACGGCGGTGGGCTTCATTAACCTCAGTTCCTGCCTCCTGATCAGGCCCTGGGTCTGGGGCATCAGGCTCACAGCCATCACAGGGTCCGACCGCTGAAGCAGGTCACCCAGCCTCTCACAGTACATGGCCCCATCAGCTTCCTTCTCCTCCAATTTTCAGTACTCTTCTGTTAATAAACCGCTTTGGGGGCTTCCCTGATGCCTCAGATGGTAAAGCGTCTGCCTGCAATGCGGGAGGCCTGGGTTCGATCCCTGGGTTGGGAAGATCCCCTGGAGAAGGGAATGGCAACCCACTCCCTTATTCTTGCATGGAGAATCCCATGGACAGAGGAGCCTGGTGGGCTACAGCCCATGGGGGTGCAAAGAGTCGGATACGACTGAGCGACTTCACTTCACTTTCACAAGGAAGGCAACTGTGCTTGCGTCTGGAAAGCGGGGCCTCGAAAATGATTAATTAGGGGGACTCTGCATGGGAGTGAACGGCGCCGAGCCCTTCCTCAGCGAGGTTATCGTCTCCGTCCACTCCTAGGTCCCGCTGGCACCGCAGAAGCTCAGATGCCGATTCACTGACTGGAGAGGCAGTAGGTGTGAAGCAGCCCGGCCCTACCTGGTCGCCGCCAAGACGCTCACGGCATGGACCGCCCGTCCGCCCCCGGGCCCTCAGAGCCGAGTCCACGTCCCTCTTAAAAAATTCTTGATCTGTCAGCCATGCTGGCTAGCTCTGATGAATAAAGCTTTTCTTGCATTTGTGTTGTTTTGCTTAAGAATGTGAGCTGTAGACTCTGTTTTTATGAGCTAAAACTGACGTCCCAGATCTGGCTGTTCATCAGTATAAATGTAAACTGGTGTTAATTTTGTCCCTAGTGTCGTATAGGCATTTGTTGAAGTGCCTTTTCAACCTGTATTTCATAATGAGCTTATTTAATTGTTGACATCATCAGTGAGACTCTCCTGACTATAATTTTATTTCTATACATATGCCATTTGATATCAATTTTAAAGTTCTTTCTCCATATTCAGTGTATTTTTGGTCCTGGGTTATGTGTTGTCTAGGGATGCTGAAAAGAATATATCAGATAGAAACTAAGAATGAACTATGAAAAATAATAAAATAATAGCAGCTATCACTAACTCTTATTAAGTGCTTAGTGTATGCTAGGTGTCTTTCTAAGTATTTAACATGTATTATCTCATTCACTTTAGCAATCTTGTGAAGTAGGTACCAGTTTTATTCCCATATTAAAGATATACGTGACCAGGCACAGTCTAATAAAAGCCACTGGGCAGGTACAGGCCATGTGGCAGAGGAGCCAGGGTGAAGAAGGGGTTACATCCATAGTGAAGGAATGAAGACTATGTGGAATTTTGATGCTTAGAGACAAAATAAATGACATTCCTGGTATAGGGACCAGGGTGAATAAAGATTTGAGGTGGGGAGCATGAGGGATGTTTCAACAGTTGTGCAATAAGGAGGTGTAGTGGGAAGACAGTGAAGTCAGATGAAGTTCACTTTCTGAAGGAGCTTGTGGACCAAGCAAAGCTCTTGGGACTTTTAGTCTGTAAGCCATCAGTAAGCATCTTTTTTTCCCATTTTCTTTTTAAAACTGTGGCTGGAGACTGATCATAACAATGATCTATTTGAGTAAGAAGACTGGGAATAGTGCAAGAGATGCTTAAAACAAGGAGAAAAGCCCTTCTGAGTGGCTGAGATGATGTCATTGCAATTAATGGAAATCAGAAACAGAAGAAATGGAATGTGGATAAGGGTTTGATTGATTTAGTTTCAGATACATTGTGTTGAGAGGTCCTTATGCCACTTACAAGGAAATGATCAGCATTCATTGAACTGTCTCTGTGTGATTTAGGATTAGAAGTTGTGAATAAGCCATTTAGAAATAATACTTGACACTATAGGAATAATTGACATCTGAAAAGTTAGTGAATTCACAGAGGAAGAGCTGTGGATTCTTTTTGGAAGTTGTATATTTTAATCTTTATGGCTATGTGTGAGTTCTATACCTAAAACACACCGTTTTCCTAATATTGCTAACGTTTCCCTCCTAAGAAACTCAAACTTTCTCAAGCAGCAGCTTTTTATGCCTGTGCTGTGCTGTGCTTAATCGCTCACTTGTGTCCGACTCTTTGTGTTTAGGGTCATTTAATTTGCAGTTCTTCCAGTTCGAATTTTTCCAACCCCTCATCTGCGCCCTGTAGGTGCCATTGGTTTATGTTCATTTCAGTTGTAGGACAGAGATGCAGAGCATCAGCTACAGAAATCACTGCTAATGTTTTTGGTTTTTTGTTGCAGGGCATGGGCTTCTCTGGTTGTGACACACGGGCTCTGCGGGCTTAGTTGCTCCAAGGCATGTGGGCTCTTAGTTCCCAGAGCAGTGACTGAACCTGAATCCCTTGCAGTGGGAGGTGGATTCTCAACCAGAGACCACCAGGGAAGTCCCATTGCTAATGTTTTGAACATACTTTTTAGGTTTCAAAGGGATTTTCTTCATTTAATCTCCTCAGACTTGATATAGCTGAACTGCAAGTGCTTTTTATTATTTCTTTTTGTGGAAATAAGAGAGGTAAAGTACCTTGCCTGGTGATCCAGATAATAAGTGGGAGAACCAAGATTCGAACCTGGGACCTCTGACTCCAGATCCTGCGCTTTCTCCTCTATATCACTGATGCCTCACTGCTCCTTTCAGGAGGAAAACAACAGCTTGGATGGCAGCACACCAGTTATGCTTTGATAGTGTTTTTATCATATGGCTTATTAACCTATCTTAACCATCATTTTGTCTTGACAGATCACAAAGGCCGACTTAGAACAGCGCCATCCTCAGCTCGATTATGTCTTTACATTGGCACAGAATCTGAAAAATAAAGCTTCCAGTTCAGATGTGAGAACAGCAATCACTGAAAAATGTAAGATTTAAAAAATAAAATGATACAGCATCATTCACTTTCCTTGAAAATGGTAACATGCACATTTTTGAAGATTATTCAGCCAGAAATTAATATTATTTTATAATTTGATATTTGATAATCTCTATTAATAAAATAGCTTTCCCTTGTTTTTTAAATTTTTTGTGAAGATTGTCATAATTCCCTTATGAGTTCCTTAAACTATGAACAACATTACTCTTTAAGTAATTAGTAATACATTGAAGTTTTCTTTTTTTTCTCATTTAGGTTAGAATTTCTTTTAAAGAAACCAAAAAGACAAAAGTTAGAGAAACCCATAGGAATGCAAATCCATTCTCCTTTTATATTCACTGAAATCAAATCTTTCCATGTCTTTTAACTCATCAGAATTCAATCCAAAAATATGTATTGAGTAGCTACTGTATACCTGTGTGCCTGGCTCTAATTTGAGAATACTTTAGTTAAATACAACATGAAACAAAACAAAAATTAAGTACAACTCAGCAGCAACAAAGTTCCCTGTTTCAAATTGGCTTTCTGGCCTAAAGGCTTCTGTTAAATCTGTATGACATACACAACAGTCAGGATTCTTAAGAATGTCATGTAGGGGCAATCACTGTCTGTTTGCATCATTCCCTTCCTCTCTCTAGCCCTCAGCACTGTCTGTAGCTGTTCTGAACGATATCTGTTCTTTATAACGTCCTGACATTTCCTAGTCTTCTTACCTTTATTCACATTATGTTTTCTTCTTCTTGGCCTTCTCTCCCCAGGTGAAATTCTACTCAGCAGATAAAATGTCACCCACTCTGCAAAGTCTTTCCCACCCTCTTTTAGTCCCTGGTGAACTGTATTTTCTATCTTTAGTTCCTGCCATGGCCCCCCCCTCCCAATAATTTCATTGTAGATCTCACAATTAATTTGCTCTCTCTTCTATAAGTTGTAAATATTCACCTCTTTGGCCCCAAGATTTCCCACACTGCCCAGGACCAATTAGGAACTTAATAAATATTTGTGG